AGAGCATGCCAAATCAATCAAGTAGGTACGACAAATAAGCACATAACCAATGTTTTACATATTACTGGACCACAATTGCTGAGCCAGTGTTCCATTGTTCATTATACAGAGCAGTGTTTCTCAGCCTCAGCAATTTTAAGATGTGCAGACATCAACTGCCAGAATTCCCCAGCCAACATGGGAATAGGAAATTCTGGAAACTGAAACACTCATATAGATCCATGCTTTACTCTATTAATAAGTTATGAGGGCTCCTGGCTTAATCTACCACTTCGCTTTCATCCTTACCTTTGGGCAATCTTCTCCAGCATAGCCAGCTCGCACTGTGCAGGAGCCAATATCAAACACCAGCGCACCAACTTCATCTGCAGACAGGGAGGCATCATTTATTAAATTCAGCACAATAGCGCTATCTTATTTTTACCGATAAAATGCAAAACACAGAGACTGCTTTAGAAAGAAGATTGTAGTTTATTGAAGAGGAGAGCCAGAATGAAAGATGGCTCTGGAAAAAACAACTGACCACATGTAGTAGGGAGTGGGTTTTTATACCTTTTTGGACTTTTGTTTTGAGTTTGTTCTTGTGGCATGAAGTTTGACCTGAGTCTGAGTGTGTCTTTCTGGTATTCTAATGGTGGTGGGTTTATCCTATTATATCCCAAAGGTCTTATCCTGCTTCCCTGGGGCTGTGGCTGATGACTGTTGGATTTTTGGTGTGAGGGATAGTTGATTCTAGGGATCTTTCTAATCCCAGCTTCCTGACTCCAATCTTTCTGACCAGATTATCACATCTGCATTTCTGAATATCTGGTTTATGTTTGGGGCAGAGACTTGGGGGGTGGGGGGTGTTTGGTTTCTGCCTTTAAAATCCTTTGGGGAAACATATTCTGTCTTTTTAATATTCCCCAAAATATTTCTTTCTCTGGATTGTTCCCACAATATATACATATACATATACATACATATGATTAAAAATAACACTGAAGACAGATGAATGACTCCTGGGTATATCCATGGTAGGAAACAAGACGTGAGCACCAGAAGGTTGTAAAACAGTTAAAAGTTTTAATAAAACATTAAAAACCTTTAAAAGAATATTAAAAAGGACCTAGCTTTCGTTGGATCCTACCAACATCGTCAGGGTACAGAACAACTCAATGGGAGAAACCATTTAACCCTATAAATGGTTTCTCCCATTGAGTTGTTCTGTACCCTGACGATGTTGGTAGGATCCAACGAAAGCTAGGTCCTTTTTAATATTCTTTTAAAAGGTTTTTAATGTTTTATTAAAACTTTTAATTGTTTTACAACCTTCTGGTGCTCACGTCTTGTTTCCTACCATACATACATATATATATACATATATATATATACATATATATACATACATATATATACATATACATATACATATATATATATATATATATACATACACACACACATATACATATATATATATTAAGCCTGGGTAGGGTTTATTCGGCAATATCAGCATTAACCATCAGGATGCATGTACCAAGAGGGGCTCCGGGCAGCAAGGAGGGAAGGCGGCGTCATCCAGAGGCTCGGAAAGCCGGCAAGCAATTTAGCGAACCGGGAAGCCCAGGAGGGCTGCAAGAGCTCCGCTTCCATGCGTGCGAAGGAGAAGCTGCAAAGCCGCCGGGGCCAGGACTCGTACGGGAGAGGGCACGCAGAAGCTCCGCCCACCGCCGGCCCGCGTTAAAGAAAGGGCGGCCTCCTCCGGCCTTAGGCCGCTCACCTCCTCCGTAGACGCCGCCGCTCATGACGGCTCGAGCTCCCGCTTCGCCGGCAGCACCTCCGACCTCCGAGCGCCCCAAACCCCTCAGGCTCCTCTTCTTTCCCTTACTCTCTCTCTCACTCCCTCTCTCTCTGCTCCCGGACGTCCCGCCTCCGTCTGCCCTCGGGGAGCCAATAGAAAGCGACCTCGCGGAGGAGGCAGCCTAATTGGAGAAGGGATAGAATATGCAAGCCTATCGCGGGGCCGCTTTCTCGGGCCTTTTTCGCTTGGGCTCGGTCGGGGCCCTCTGATAGGTTGAGACGCGTCCCGCGGGCGACGGGAAAAGTCGGCTGCAGCGCCCGGGGGCGGAGCTAAAGGGGGCTGGTTGTAGGTTTGCCTTTAGTTGGGGGAGTCCAGGCTTTCCAGGCAGGATGGTGGGATTCGTTCTCCAGTATGGTCCCCGCCAGAGTGTTGGACTACAATTCCCATCACCCCACTTGGGTGTATATTGTGATGGGGATTGTAGTCCAATCAAAGGCGCGCGCTGGTTTAGAGCAGTGTTTCTCAACCTTGACAATTTTAAGGCATGTGGACTTCAACTCCCAGAATTCCACAGCCAGCAATGCTGGCTGTGGAATTCTGGGAGTTGAAGTCCACATGCCTTAAAATTGGCAAGGTTGAGAAACACTGGTTTAGAGGAACTTTCAGGTGCTCTTCTTCCAATGTGGTCCATGCCAGTGTTTGTCAGCCTCCGCAACTTTAAAATGGGTGGATTTTAACTCCCAGAATCCCCCTGGAAATGAGGAATTCTGGAGTTGAGATCTACACGTCTTAAAGTTGCTGAGGTTCGGAAACGCTGGTCTATGCCCTTGTGTGCCAGCAACGTGATTCGAGATTCTGCGTGGGACATACTTTGTGCAAAACAATTTATAGAGGCAAGATTGATATCAGGCCTCAAAGACAAGGAAGGATCATTTCAGCCTCTTCGGGACAATCTATAGCAGGTCTCAAAGTGATAGTTTTGGAAAACAATCGAAAAGTTAAAGACGAAAACACCACCTTACCAGTAATCAACATCTAGATAAGCAGAGAATGATACCAGGATTAATACCAACAATCAAGCAGTAAATAATATCCCAAGGAACTACCAACTTAGACAATCAATAAGAATAAACGACTGCCTAATCAAGAAACTACCAAGAAGAAAACAACATTCCCACCAACACTGGCACTATATAAACAGAGCAACCCCATTCTCTTCTATCACTGATAGAGATAAAGAGATAAGATAAGATAACCTTTATTGTCATTTTTTTACTGTGGGCACAAGAGCACACATCTAAAATGAAATTTAGTTGAAGATGTTAGTTGGAAAATGAAACGTCTGCAAGAAAATAATCAAGGTCAGAGAGCACCAAAGACTCCACATTTCAACCTAAGCCACAAATATTCTCTTTCATCGATACTTTCTACTTTATTGTTATTTTTTGTAAAAACAAAACAAAACACAATAACTTTCCCATTCTTTTAATTGCACTGGGTAGCTTTCAAAC